TGCCCATGATCAAAGCCTTTTGCTAAGTTGTTGATTAAATCTGTTTGGGTCCCGACATGCCCGTATTAAAATACGCCAGGAAAAAACATTCCACAACTCCGTCCAGAGAATCGTTTTGCGAAATTCAAGAGAAACTTTGAGTTTAGTATTACAAGATGCATTTGTCGGTTAACACCTCATTGCAAGGGCCTTTCTAGTCGGCTAGTACGCTTATGTGCAACCAGCTGCTAATCTTTGAGAAGAGAGAATTTTCGAATGATAGACAAAAGCTTCTCATTACAGAGTTTTCATTTTATTTGGGTTTCTTCTGAGAAACTCTTTCAACGAGTGAGATACCGTATTTCAGCTCATTCTTCCTGAGTACGCCATTCATATAGTCTACACATCTCTGTTTATACTTAGCTGGCAAATGTTTGGCATCTTGATGAACCTTCCCTTAGCATTCTACCATATTGCCACGTGAGTACAACATTTTATTTTTTTCTTTTATATTACTACTGTTGTGACTTTTGAGGCTTTAGGATGGAACCATTTATTCTGACCTGATGCTTCAGCACACTTCGTTGTCTTTTTCAGCGAGCACTGTTCCACCTTAGAAGGAGAACATAAATTTACTTTCGAAAAAGTCAACATTCGATCTTTCCAAATTGAACAGCATCCATTTATCAAAAAACCCACTGTCTCCACCATTTTCGGGTTTTTATTGTGGTTTTCTACAGTTTTCAGTTTTCCTTCTGGCTCACTAAGTAAGTGATTCCTAATAGCTAGACAAGAAGCAAACCGCCTGGGCCCTGTAGCAGTTTTTCAGTGCAATTTGTTCCCTCTTTTCTGGTTTGGATACATACCTTGCGTTCGAAAATGGTCATGTGTACGGCGCTCAAATACTAATGATGGTATGGCGATTAATACAAATAAAGAAGAAAAATCCGCCTGAAATGCCATGTAGGACCCCATGCCGGACAGCGTTCGTACGTACATAAGTCGAAGAGATGGCATGGTTGGATTCTTGTTTGGTGGTGTCAACTCATTGTTTTTATCGCCTCACTCTCACCATACGAAATGGGTAGAGCTAGTAGCGACACAACCGAACCACTAGGAAACAATAAGAGATAAGTTGGACTTTGCCGTAGCTAGTGGGCTGTGCTGTGGTCTCGCCCCGAGCTGGTAGCGCCTTCCGCTTGACCTTTTGCGCTGTGAAAGTGCTTGCAGACAGAGTTACCCGGATGGAGCTCAAATGAACGCAAAGCGGGACTTGGTCAAGCAGTTTGTTAGCTACGATGGCGTGCATGGTTCCAAAGGTCCGACACTATAGCCGAAACTGAAACGCAATTGATAAGCTGTCACTGGACAGTGGTGTATGGAGATTATTTGGTTATATCGTTGCTGTTTTTGTTATGATAACTGCTGTTTAACGCCGCAGTACGCGTTCCGAATGTTATCACAAGAATGCTGAGTTGTGGGCAAAAGTCGTGCCCCAGGCGGGAGTCGAACCCGCACCTCACGCTTTCCGGGCGAGTGCGCTATCCGTTACGCCACCAGGGCCGCTTTTTACCCTCTCAGCTTGTGACGGCTTTATGGCCGTAACCATACAGCACTTGCACACGTTTACACTTGTGAGAGCCGTATCGATGGGATATCGTACTGCGGCGTTAAAACAGCAGTTATCATAACAAAACAGCTTCAAAAACATCTAAAGCCTTCGGCCTCGCGGTTTCATGCCGATATCCCATCGATTACGGCTGACCGGCTCACCAAGTTAAACGTGTGAGTGCTGATAGAGAGGGTAAAGGGCCCTGGTGGGTAAAGAATTAGGTGCGCAACGCCCGAAAGCGTGAGGTGCGGGTTCGACTCCCGCCTGGGGCACGACTTTTGCCCACAAGTCAGCATTCTTGTTGTTGGGAGTGTTTGTATTTTTCTTTTGTCACTGAGCTCTGTTTCACCTCTCTGTCTTTACTCTGCTGGTTGGCTTCCTAGCGAGAGCGAGTCGCGGCACGCTAGTGAGGGTGGTTTGAGAGAACACTGGAGGTCTGCATTATACTTGCGTTCAGGTCACAGGCGACCACCAGCGTGTTTTCGAGAACGCTATGCGCCGAGCGAATAGGAATGATCATTGATTAGCGAGACGCGCAACTGTCAACTGCAGCGGATCGTGAGCGTGAACTCAGATTCAGAGGGACTAGGAGCTTATAGGGTCGACTCGTAGCAAACGGTCTTCGTTCGCCACAGGGCCTTGCCAGCTTCCACCGTGGAGAATATCGAGAAATTGGAGGGTAGCAGACAGCTGAAGCAGGCGTCGTGAAATGGCGTCGTGCGCAACTCGACCGTGAAACTGTTGAAGGGCAGAGATCAATTGCAATCATACGAGTGTAGCGGGCGTTAGTGGCAGTTGTGCATCAGCGACGCAACAGACGTTTGGAACACGACGCAGGGGTCGACTAGAAAAGTAGAGATCTCAATCTAGCGAACGCGGTGCGGTTGCACACGCTTCAATTTCACGACGCCTAGTCCAGCTGTCTGCTACTCTCCTACTTCCCCATACTCTCCACTCCTGGACGCTGGTCGACGCAGGTAAACGCTAGTCGACGCTGGCATTCGCTGCACCTATACCTCCCAAGTCATCGAGACGGCGGCGTTCGCTAGATTGAGATCTCTACCTTTCTAGTCGACTGCGTGTGTTCGAAACGCTGGTGGTCGCTGATGGACACTGACACAAAGTATGAACACAGCCTAATTATTGTTTAGACTGCAAGTCATCATCATTATATGAGCTGGTCATTCTCTGAGAAGCAGTTTCAAGTTGTGTTGATAGAGGATTGATACCTTGCTCTACGTGTGGTGTGGTTCAGGTACATGCGTCGTCCTGTGATGTCTGGCCCAGGAATCTATGACCCTACTACGATTCTGCATAGCAGTCATTTGAGTGCTGCTCTACGGGCAAGCTGGATTAAGCTGGCTTTCTACCTCCTGTCCTTTTTCTATTACTTATACGCGTAAGTTCCTACATGGTCTCAACAATTATCAATTGTCTTCCGGTTCACCATCGTTTGTTGATCCAACTATATTTGCAGTCTCATCTACACCTTGGTGACATCAAGCAGCTAGAGAACTTAGAAAGTCACTTATACGTCATTTCTCGATCTTTGCCCAGAAGAGCGATCTGAAAATGTGTTGTTTCCATGATTATACTTAAAATTATGTGTAGATTTTTGACGAGTTGGTATTTGTGCATGCCGAATCTTTTCAGTCCAGTACTTGTGTTTACGATCTATTTGTCGCCTTTTTCATAAATATTGCTTTTTATTGCCCGAGTTCCTGATGTTTTGAAAGAAACATCAAATTCCGTTACATTAAAGACAAACCCCGCGGTTGCATACTGTGGATAGTGGCGTTCAGGTAAAAAACTGTAAAGGCTACGTGATTCTCCAGTGAAAAGAAGTCAAAATGTCATGGAGAACACAACAAGTAAGGACCTCACAGCCTCTCTGCACGAGTTCAGCTGACCTGCTCTTTTGTGCCAG